GTTAAAAATTGCCTCTAAGTTAAATATTTAAGTCAATCTCTTGCATTTAGCAAATCAATAACACAGTCCAGTTGAACCTTTCCACTTAATCCAACTTTAAAGTGACAGACAGCAAGCATTGGGTTAATAAGTGATGTGTAGCAGCAGATTGTCATGGATACACTGCTGTTTCCCAAGGTCCTGTGGGACTTTGCTTGTAAAGCCTGTTGATTGGCTGGAAGCTTTCACTGTCAGTTTCTCCCCTAGTGGCCCTTTGCTTAGGATTAATCTAAAGGGAAATAATTTGCTTCCATCAACAGACTTGGTACTTGTGACAGATCAAACACATCTCCCTCAGCAACTTCGATCTGTGCCTATTCTTACTCCACTAACATCTGGGTGTAATTTGTCAGGTAGCAGTAGATGAACACTAGTCAAAGGAGTTAATTAATGGAGTGTGCTGTTTGTAAGCTTTATGTGAAAGAGGAGGTGCGGGCTTGGAAATACAACCACCCACACCTTCAGATACATCTACAATAAGAGCACATTTCAATTAGAGGAAGAAAATCATTTGCAGAATTTAAGACTGCTGCTGCCACCTTAATGTTTTATTATGTTACGTGGGATACAAACAATGCAAAAGGCTGTAATTTAGAATCTTTTTTAATCACTGCTGTGAACTAAGTGCAGTGGAAATAAATATAGCATTAAAACTTTCTCTGTCCACTTTATCAAATTATGTACCACGTATTTATATTAAAAGCACTGGGTTCGGTAACCAGCTGCCAAATAAATAATATGGTGATGATATGACAAGGGATTAATACTGTTGTCTGAATGTCATTGCACATTAAGGACATGATGTGCAGGATCAACCATCACTTATGCTGCTGAGAGAGGGGAAATATTCCCATAGTCCAAGATAATGTTATACCATAACAGATTGTCAGGTAGTGAGTTATAAGCCTATGATGCCACCAAGGGAATAATTTAACATTTATAAACTGCTTGCCGTTTGCTTCTGTTGTTTTATAATGTCATCAGAACTCCCAGCTTAAATTAGTCCTGTAACTCGGCCCCAACTATCCACATGATTGCTGCCGTAAGACAAAATCATTGGAAACTGAAACTAATTCGTGGCACCATTGATGAAAATACTTGCTTTTGTCATTATTTAATTTGCGTACACTCATGATACTCGGTGATGTTATACTAATTAATTAGACGTTTATATTACATAAAATTTAATCTGGATAGCCGGACCAACAGGTCTATGCCAGTGTTTAAGCACTGTACAAGTCTCCTCCCTCCCTATTTTTATACCCTGCTATTTTCCCTTTTGATCCACTTAAGTGGGAGAACAGTAAATATTTGACATTGGCTTTCACTTCTCCATGTGGTAGCAAGTATCACATACACTACCCACCTGAGGAAGTTTCCCCTGAATTTTATATTTGATTTATTAATAACTACCATTATAGTAATGGCTCTAGTGTTAGCCTTCCGAGGAAGTGGAAACATCTATTGAAGGTTTATCTGACTAAACACTTTCATAATCTTGAAAATGTCATTTAGCTCCTGGATGAGGATTAAGGTGGAAAAGGAGCTTTCCATAGCAATGATGGGAGCAGCAGAAAATAATAATGTATTGGAATATGGTTTTGCTTGGTCCTTGCCACCTAAGAGCATCCTAAATTGTAGTCAGAAGAATGGAGACATTTCTGGGAAGTTCCTGGGAATCCTTCCATTTGTAGCCCCATCAGCTGACACCTTGATGTTTTTCTAAGTGTTCTGCTGTAGCATGAAGTCATGAAGGTTTACAGCATGGAAACAGGCCCTTGGGCCCAACTTATTCATGCCACCCAATTTTGGCAATCAATCTAGTCCCATTTGGTCCATATCCCTCCATACCTATCCCACCCATGTACCTGTCCAAATGTTTCTTAAATGACAAAATTGTGCTTGTCTTCACCACTATCTCTGCTAGCCCATTCCAGACACTCACCACCCTCTGTCTGCAATTCTGTCTACAAACATCACCCCCGTGACAAATGTTATGCTAACTGGCCTGTAAATCCCTGTTTTCTATCTCCCTACCTTTTTTGAGCATTATGTTTGAAATTTCCAGCCTAATGGAACCTTTCCTGAGCAAAAGGAAATTTGGAAAATTACATTCAGTGTGTGAACAATCTTACTAGCTGCTTTTTTCAAAAAAAAGACCCTTGAATAGAGTCCCTCAGGACTCTGAAACCTGGTAGAATGCAGCTCCAACAATTTGCTAAGTACCACTTCCTTGGTGATTTAACTTCCTTGAGTTCCTCTCGGTCTCTCCCATTTCCTGATTTAGAGCTATTTCTGGGATGTTACTTGTATCCTCCACAGTGAAAATCGATGAAAAATACCTGTTCAATTCATCTGCTATATCCTTATTTTCTGTTATTAGTTTTCCAGACACTTTATATCGGATCAGTCTTGGTTTTGTTCTCTACTGTATTTTCAATTTTTTGGCTATCCATAGGAACTCTTAATATGTTATTTCTAGTTAGCTTTCTCTCATGCTCTAATTTTTTCCTCCTCATTAACCTTTTAGTCATTCTTTACTGCTTTTTATATTCTCTCCAATCTTCTGGCCTGTCACCCATGTGTGCGATAATTATGCTTTTTCTTTTAAGTTTGATACAATCTTTAACTATTTTAGTTAACCACAGTTGATGGCTTTTCTGCTTGAAATTTTTACTTCTTGTTGAAATGTAAGTGTGTCTTTTAAAATTGTTGTAATCTTTAGCCTTATCTGTTGCTTTACTTTTACAAATGTCCACTTTGTCCCTTTCTGTCATGGTCTGTTTACCATTTCCCATATTAATACCTTTCTTTCTTGCCTTGTCTGTGCTCTTAGCGCATCTTCCCAAATTTGATCCTTTGTCCACTATTTAGTTAAGAGCCCTTTCTGCTTCCTTACGTAGATTGTTAAAACACTGGCCCTAACACGGTTGGAGGTGGTATGTCAGCATGGAAAGAGGATTGGCTAACAAATCGAAGACATTTGGAATATGGCAGCATTTTTAGGAGAACAACCTGTAATAAGTGGAGTGCCACAGGGATCAGTGCTGGAGCCACACTATGAACGATATTATGTTTTCTTGGATGAGAAAAGTGAATGTATTGTAGCCAAGTTTGCAAATGACACAAAAATTGGTGGGAAAGCAAGTGGTGAGGATGACACACAAAGTTTACAGGAGAATACAGATTAAGCTAGTGGGCAAAATTTGTCATAGGGAATATAATATTGGAAAATGTGCGGTTATACACTTTGGAAGGATGAATAGAAGAACTGAATACTATTTTAATGGAGAACAATTGCGGAAAGCTACAGCACAGAAGGATTTAGGAGTCTGTGCATAAATCATGAAAAGGTAGCATACAAGTTCAGCAGGTGATAGGGTAGCCAAATGGAATATTAACCTTTATTTCAAAGTGAATGAAATATAAAAATAGGGATGTCTTTCTAAAACGATACAAGATACCAGTCAAACCACTGATAGAATATTGTGAACAGTTTGGGCCTCTGGAGGCAATCCAGAGAAAGTTCACTAGACTGAGCCCAGTTCTGAGGGACTCACTTATGAGAAGAGTTGAGGAGGTTGTGCCTGTACTCAGTGGAGTTCAGAAGAATGAGAGCAACATTATTGAAACGTACACAATTTTTAGCGGACTTGACAAGGTTGATGTGGAAAGGTTTCCCCTTATGGGAGAGTTTAGGACCAGAGGGCATAATTTCAGAAAAAGGGGTTGCCTATTTAAAAAAGAGATGAGGAGGAATTTCTTGAGGGTAGTGAATCTGTGGAATTATTTATCACAGAGGCTGGGTCATTAAGTATTTTTAAAGCTGAGGTCAACATTTTAAATACAGTCTGACCATTTTGCTGCAGCAACTGGTATCAATCCTCCTCACTATACTGTGCCTTATTACCACTTTAGATAACACAGTGTGGAGCTGGAGGAACACAGCAGGCCAGACAGCATCAGAGGAGCAGGAAAGCTGACGTTTTGGGTGGAGACTCTTCTTCTGAAAAGGTCTTCTTCTGAAGAAGGGTCCCGATCCCGACCCGAAACATCAGCTTTCCTGCTCCTCTGATGCTGCCTGGCCAGCTGTGTTCCTCCAGCTACATTGTGTTATCTCAGACTCCAGCATCGGCAGTTCTTACTATCTTATTACCACTTTGTTCCTTTTTGCTTTCCCCAGTTGAATGACTTTCGCCAACACAGTGCCATAGTAAGTTAACCCATCCACCCTGCATCTCTGACACCTGAAAGAACCTCAGAACTATCCAAAAATTGCAAAGGTTGAGATTCCTGCACTCCTACCCTCTGTATCCCTTTTCTTGCCTCACTTGTAGTCAGTGCTATCCTGTCACTGACCACTAACCAAATCAGAAGACCTAAGTAATGTGACTGCCTCATCGCCCAAAGTATGCAAATAGCAATACCTCCCCCGATGTCTCTCTACTCGACCTCCAGCTTATATACTCTGAAGCAGAGCTCTTCTCATTTGCAAGCCCTTACTATAGGCATTTTTGGTCTGGCCCATACTGGCATCTAGGTTTCCTCATATGTTGTAGTCATGGCACCTTACCCATCCTGCCATCCTTAATGTGTTTCAATTTATTATCTAATTACTCAATTGTTTATTTTCCTTTTTAAGTATTTTATTAACTTTGCTGGTATCCATACTCTTTTTTTAAATGTAAACAGAATAGACTATAACCACATACTAGATGTTTGCAAAGCTGCTGGATTCTTGCCCTGTAGAAGAGGAAGAACCTTGGGGGATGAACAAGTTAGGAAAAGCACAAAGGACCTTGCTGTTCCCTCCTCATTTAACTACCCTAATTGCCAAACCCCCAACATTCGATTCAAAACCACACTTACGTGCTGAGTCACATTGAGATACTGAGCTTTATATGTTGCTGAAACAAAAAAAGGTAGGTATCTAGAGGCCCTAGATACAGAAAAAAATAGTTTCAGCTGTTTTCCTTAATTTCCTTGATCTTCCAGTGGAGTGTTTGTAAAATCTTGTTTAAAGCCTGGAAATTTAGAATGAAAACAGATTTCAGTTAAATGTTAAATGTAAACAAAAATTACATGCTTTCAAAGAGATCAAGATTCCCTTTCTCAGCAACTGGCCAGCAACCACTTCTCAGCACTCCAACAAACCTCTAACTAATTCTGATGAACATCAAAACTTATTTTTCTCTTTTGACTTGCTATGTAATTTAGCATTTTCTGATTCAGTATCCAATTTCCAATGTTCAGTTTTCTTTGCATTTGATCAATTTCATTTCACCATGTTCAAATTTCACTATGCAAGAATTGTTTCACCTAATGGCCTGCATGCAGAGAGAAAAGGTAGGAGTGTGCTTCAGAACAACAATACAACTAATAATTTTATGGCTGTAATCAGAGTGGCGATTGCTACATATTTTCTCACTGTTGAAATATAGTAAATTAGTAAATCAATTCAAGAGCACCGAAAGAGTTTGAGACATATCAAAATCAGTTAAGTTATTAAAATACTAAGGAGATCCAGTCTGTCATTTCTCAAATGAATAATTGCACCCCTTGAAATATTGAGGTACAGTGGAATGATCTTAACTGAGCATTCACATCCATGAATTCCCCATTTACTGAACCTGTCTCCTTAAGTAATTCTTGACTGACTAAAATTGTGGTGAATTAGTCAGAGATTGAGTTCATAGCTTAACTCCAAAGATTGGAGCATATCATTCAAGCTTATGTTCCCAGTGCAGTATTGAGAGCGTGATACATTATTGGAAGTGCAGTATTATGTGCGATGAATTTAACTGAGGTTCTTTCTGGCCCCTTGGTTGGAATCAAAGATTCCACTGCATTACTTCAAAAAATATTATCATCCCTAAACTAACATCACTACAACAGATTATACAATCACTACCATGTTGTTATATGCCAGAATTTACTGTATACAAATTGGCTGCCATATTACCTACAAAACTACAAAAGTACTTAATTTGCTGTAAAGTACTTTAGGATGTCACGAGTTTGCTCATTTGGCAACAAATCCGTTCTCACCATCTTCTGGGCACAGGTGCTGCAACTTGAGACCAGCCTGTGTGTGTGAAGATTTGGTAGGCAGCATACAAATGTGGTGCTTCTACCTCATTTACTTAACAAGGACTGACTTCAAGAGGGGATATGGGCTGAACTGCCGAAATGGACAGTTGAAATTTAATGCTGAAAAGGGTGAAATGATACGAAGAATGATGAAAGGCATTGTGAAGTAAAGGGCACAATTCTAAAGGGGCAAAGGAGCAGAGGCCTGGGATATATGTGCACAAATTGTTGAAGGTGGCAGGGTAGTTTCAGAAAGTTATTAGAAAGTCTATGGGATCTTGGACTACATAAATAAAGGCATAGTCTACAAAAGCAAGGAGATTATTATCAGTTTATTTACAGACAGATGTGGGCCTGAAAGAACACAGTTAAACATATCACACGTAATACAGCATTTCCAACAATGTATCCACGCTCTCAATATTGCACTGGGATTTTAAGCCTGAATGATATGCTGCAGTCTTTGGACTGAGCTATGAACTCAATCACTGACTAATCCACTACAATTTTAATCATTCAAGAATTACTTCAGGAGATAGGTTTAGTAAATGGAGAGTTCATGGAAGTGAATGCTAAGTTAAGATCATTCCACTGTACCTTTTCATTAAAGAAAAAGCCACTGGTTTAGCCTCAACTAGAGTATTGTATAAATCTGGGAACCACACTTCAGGAAGGATGTGAAGGCTTTTACAGACGGTGCATAAAAAGTTTACAGGAATGGTTTGTGAAATAACTCCACGAAGGCCAGTTTCCCATCACCAAGTCCCCCTTGACTTACATGTACTTAGTACATGCGACTGACCCAGCTAGTTCAGAGCCAGCTGTTAGAGTGAACAGAACCCCTGACATAGTCAGCTTCCCTGATTGGACCAGGTTTACAGCCCCAGTCAAGGAACTCATGTTCTATGATGTCGTTACAATCACTACAGTTTGGAGATGATGACTTCACTTTTGAGGATGGATTGATGAAGCTGTGGCTTTCTTTAGGGAAGGGAAGTTTGAGAGGAGAATCATGAAAGTGAGAAACTGTTCAGTGTCTGAAGGATCAAAAACCAGAAAACATCAATTTAAATGATTTGCAAAAAAAAACTGCAGTATGATTCTGATTTGGAACGAACTGTAAAAAATTGTGGAGAAGAGAATTGGATAATTAGTTGAAAATGCGGATTTCTGCCCTAGTCCACCTTCCACTAGTCCAACCTCTCCCACATAATTTTCATTCTGGTTTTAAGATACCCAGGAAATGATTCCTGTCAGCCATAGTCCTCCAAGGAAATAGTGAGACTGCATCAGCAATAAAGAGGTCCTTTCACTAGATTCACTCTGACACAGAACTACTAGCTCAAATATTGGCACCTCATGTATCCTAAGAGCTGGTAGTAGAGTTGGGATCTACAATTAGTAAGTCACCAAGTCCCTGACCAGGCTGATTCTTGCAATAGTTCACCAAATGGCAAGATCAGAGATGAAATTAAAACAGAAAGTGCTGGAGAAATTAGAAGGACTGGCAGTATCTGTTGAGAGAAAAACAAAGTTAATATTTCGAGTCAGGTGTGACATCTTTGGAGCTGAGTCATACTGAACTTGAAAAGTCAACTTGTTTCTTTCCCAACAGAGGCCGACAGACCTGTTGAGTTTCCCCAGTACTTTCTGTTTTTATTCCAGATTTCCTGCATCCATAGTATTTTGCTTTTATTAAAGGTCACCAATGAGTTCTGCAACAGAGGATCCTGGTGGGGACTTGGAAGGAGTGGCAAAGTGCACTGATGGAAATTGAATGTCACATCAGCCACCGGGGTGCGAATGGCATCATGGTAACATGATGTTGTATGTTGCTGACCCACATAGGGGCACCCAAAAGAGCACCCTTCTCAACTTGAGGTAGCGCAGGGACTTCTTGTGGTTTCATTTAATTCCTACTTTTTTTCTCAAGGTTCTTATGAATTTGACCAAAATGCTTGAATAGTTTTGATAACGGTAGCTTTTTTCACCTTCTGTAGCTGTTGTGGAATGCAGTTAGCAGAAAAAAAAAGCCAGGAAGATGATGAGTTGACAGTTATTTTCCCAAAGGGATTTATGGTGATCAGAATTGTGCTGCCAGAAAGAGTGGTGGAAGCAGATACAATCGTGACTTTCAAAAGCAAACTGAATAAATACTTGAAGGAGAAACATTTTCATGGCTAAGGAGAATTGCAGAGAAGTGGAATTAATATGATAACTTTTTCTTTAAAAAAGCACACATGAGAGGCTGATTGAAGCCGTCCCACATGGCCATGTTTGAGAGGTTTTGAATATAGCATTAAATGTGAATTTTTTTAAAAATTAATGTTTTCTTTAATTTTATGTTCACCTCTTAAACTATCGAAGAATCTTGACTTTCACATTCTAATGCTAGGTTTATGGCAGCACTGCATACTAAACCTCAGGCTACATCATTTGTGTGTCACTAGAGATTAATGGTAATAAGTCATTGCCATACATGTGGCTCTAGATTTTCCTTCAGGACTTTTGACCAGAGGTAGTACCTTGCTTTATTTCTTCAAAGACTCCAGTAACTGAAGTTAGATATCTATAAAAAGATAGAAGCATTCTGTAATGATTTTAAATGTTTGTAAAGTAATATTTCTTGCCTTTCTTATGAGGGATGAATTCATGATCAAATGCTTGCTGTGGGAAGCATTGTTTTTGATGCACATACCTTGGTGAATGGCATATATTGGTTCCTCCAAGCCCAAAACAGTATAACTTGGATGAGGATAGCTGCCTTTCTTGTCTACTAAGCAAGATTCTTCTAAACAGTAGGAAGCTGATTGCATTACTCCAGCTATTTACAAATTATATGAATAAAATCTACATTATTACAGACACTGTTAGAAGCACACTACCCTCCGGTCTGTCCTCTACAGGTTCCAAATATTGTGATTGAAACCAGATGGATCTTGTTGACTGAGATCCTTAATTGGGGTTGTTAATCTGGGCCAAACGAAGCCCTGGATGACCAATATGAACAGGAGATTCAGAATCTCCTCCGTTCAGGGACTGACTCCAAGCTGGCTGGTCATAGCCAGTGTACTGTGCACAAGTAAATAATGGGTGACTTGGTGGCAGGATACTGGCCTCTGTGCAGTTATTTCACTCACCATACTCTCCGACCAAATCTTTGTGACATCATCACAGAGTAGTTCTTAGTGCACACAATCAAGTATTAACCTTTTCAAACCCTTTTTGGATCCACACATATCTCACCCAAATATCTTTTCCCTCATACTGTTGTTGTTATATGTTTGTTTATGTGTTTACATTTACAACTGCCGTCCTCCGTTCCCAAGTCTTTAACTTTGCAAATTTAGGCGATCTGGAGGTTTCGCTGTTCTCCATGAATTTATTCTTCTTAGACTTGGAAGAATGCTAGTTCGTTGGGTAAAAGCTGGTTGACGTGGGCTGTCTTCCCAATGGTCTTAGGGTTGTGGTTCTCTCTTGAATTATAGGGCCTTTAACCTCTTGTATTTCTTTCATGGAAGATCTTGATGATGTACATCTGTTCTTTATAGCTCCAATGTGGTCTCTGCTATCGCTGGTGATTTATCTTTTTCTTGGCAGTATCTTGGATCTTTGCATATTATTTGTCTTCTGTTAGTAGTATCTAGTGTGGCGTTTTATGCACCAAATCTTCACATTTTGTTGGTGGAATTTGGCTCTGAATCTGCCTGTAGATCTGTACTGAAATAAGTAGGTTTACTGAACTTCTTGAAAATTTTGGGCTTCCTGCTTTCTTCTCAGCCATTGAATTCTTGATGAAACCAGCTTATTAGGGATTCTTCTTTGGAAGATGAGGAAATTGAAGATTTAATTTGAACTTGTCTTTTCTTAATCATCTAAGCCCCTGATGTTACACTTAAATTTGGAGTAGGTAGTTATTCACTGTACATTATAG